CTAGACTAGGTCTATAGGGTAGTAACTTATTAGATTTTTTCTTCGAAAAGACTTCTACTAGGTTATAGTATTCTTTTAGAAGAGTCCTTAAAATTTAATTAATTTTAGGGTCCTAAGTCTATATACTCTTTACCTTAATAATATAGTTAATCTTATAGAGCGAAGTAATAAAGGTTTCGATTTCTCTACTAACCTTTCCTTTCTTATAGAGTCTATTAAAGCTAATATCTCTAATAGCACTAATATTAATTATTAGTAATTTATCCTATTATTAAGTCTAAGACTACTATCTTACTTTTATTATTTAGATTATAGCCTATCTTTCGCTATTCTTTAATCTACTAATATCTATACTATTATTCTTATATATATCTATAGTTATCCTTTATTTTTAATTCTTTTTAGCTAAAAAGATAGTCTTATTAATTAATATTAGCTTAAGAATTAGGGTTTAGTTTTAGTCTCTAGAGAATAGTAGTGAGTATTAGTATTACTATCTTACTTAATATATTATTAAAGAGAGTCTTCTTACCTAGCTAGATTATTTAGTATTAATAATAATCTAATAGGATACTATTATCTATAAACTATTTCTTTCTAAGGATTATATTATATTTTTTAAGATTAATAATTAGTATTAGAACTTACTACTATATCCTACTATCTATATATATTATAAGAAAGGTAATATATATTACAAGGGATCTTGGTGGCCTTCGGCCACCAGATAGTCCTTGTGGAGCGAAGTAACAAGGTTTTTACCTACTTAGTTACTGGTTTTTTTTTATATAATCACTATCGTATTTAGATTTAGACAGCTTATATTATATAATAAATAATTTCAATTGCTAGGCTTGGTGTATATCTACTGCCGGCAGAATTATTCTGCTATTTCTCAGCGATAACATTTTCGCCGTATTAGAACTCTATAGATTTAGACCTTATATATAAGCAAGGTCACGTGATATATACCCGAGCCCTTATAATATAGGTTGCTTCGCTTCGCTCCGCAATTAGCTTATTAAGCTTTCTATTAAATCCTTAAATAAGACACTCCTATCCTATACTCTCTACTTTTAATCTAAATTATTTACTAAGAAGTATACTTAACTCCTAGTTTAAGAATATATATCTATCTACTCTAGTATTACTAAGCGCTAAAATAGAAAAAGAGTATCTATTATATATTAGTCTAGTATCGAAAACTAAACTATCCCTAGGACCTCTAATTAACTTATATAAATCTAGTAAGTATAGCGATACCTTCTATCTACCTAGATAGGAGACTTAACCTAGGTATTAACTTTTCCCTAATTATTATCTTTCTTATTATTAAGCTGAATAATATAGGGAGAAGGTTAAGCTATAGTAATAGTACTAACTAGCTTCTTCTTTAGATAGTTATAGGTTATATATCCTTACTCCTTATAGTTAAAGTATTAACCTTCTTTTATTAGGATATCCTACTTAGAGCTTAAGAGTCTTTTAGGGTTATAGCTTTCTTTATATTTTATATAAGGGATATATATTAGCTTTATAGTTATTCTTATTCCTATATTACTACTAGAAATAGTAGTAGATTATATATAGGAAATAGTCTTTATCTCCTACTAGAGATTAATCTTATAAGATATACTCTAGTAAGTCTTAGAGAAAGATTTGAATATTATAGCTTCCTAATTAACTACCTATATTATCTAGCTCTATAGTAGGTATAGGAGCTTCAATTATAAATTATACTTATAGTTCTCTTTAATTAAGGTAGTTTCTTTAGTAAACTATATAAACTAGTAAGGAAAATAGTAATAGTATCCTTTAGCTTTATTATTAATTTATAATATATAGTATAGGCTTTAGTATATTAGTTTAGATTTATAAAAATAGTTTTTATATAGAAAATTATATCCTTAGTGTCTATATAAAGGTTACTTAACCTAGAGCTTATTTAGGGTCTAATATATAACTAGGCCTTCCCTTTATAATAGCTCTATATATAGAGCCTATAGTATACTAGTAATAGATAGTAGTTAGTATTTATTTCTAGTTTCGACTAGATTATAGTCTCCTATACTTTAAATTAGACTTCTTTACTATCGGTAAGTATTAGACTATTAGGTATCTTTATAGACTTCTAGGTAGTAGTAGCCTCTATAATTAGTGCGCTAGTATTAGTCTAGTTCTAGAGATTTATAAGGTAGAAAGTAAGAACACTAGATTTATAGATAGCGATATCTTAGAAGGTAATTACCTTATCTTACTCCTAAGTAAGCGCCTTAATATTACCTTAGTCTTAATCTTATTAGAATATAGGACTATTACTTTATCCTCTAACTCCTAGACTCTCTTCCTTAAGTTCTAGTATTTATAGGCGAGTTTATAAAATTGTTTATAAGTTAGGGTCTCCTATAGTCGTTTATAAATAGAGGAACCTTCTCTATTATTATTATCCTTATTATATTCACTAGTACTAACTAGTCTCTATATTTTAGGGATTAGGGTATTTAGGTTATAAGTAATTATCTCTTACTTATTACTATCTTCTTTATTAGGTATAGTGGTAGGCTACTTACCGCGGCTAGTAGGTAGGTTTCGCTTCAATCTAGCTATTTTAATTAGTTAGATATTAGGTTTAGGTTTAGATTTTAGTTTAGGTTAGGTCTTAACTATATATATAATACTAAGGAATAAAAGTGGGGGTAAAGCTAGACCAAGACTAATCACAATAATAGTCTATATAGTTATACTACTTTATTAGAAATAAAAGTGGTAGTTAGTATTATATTACTAGCTAGTTCTTTAAATAAAAGAGTATATCTTAACAAGAATTCTAAGTATAAAGAGAGAAGGAAAAGGAAGAAAGAAAACTATAAGATAGGATCCTTTATAGGGTCCTATTACCCTATATATTTAAACTATATAAACTTTACTAAGATAGAAATATCTAGTAGAATCCTTTCGGTATAAAAGATCCATAACTCTATCAAGACAGAAACATCTAGTAGAATCCTTTTAGCAGAAAGAATCTACCTCCTAGATTACTAGGTTTTAATTATATAATCACTATCGTATTTAGGGGTATTAATCCCTACACCCCAAAAATCAGTAATTATACCCTAATTAGTAATCAAAAAATTATATAATAAACACCCTATCGGAATAAATAGGATAAAAGTCACATAACTAGTAACTTGGTATTAGATCTCCTATAGCAACCACTATATACAATATAAATACTATCTCCCCCCTTAATTCTCTCTTAGATAGCAATATAGCAATATTTCAGCTATATGACTTGGTTAGGGCTTATATATCTAACTATGCTATTAGATTGATCTATACCTAACGTGAATTAGCACTCTAACCTAGCGAAATTGGGCTATATTCTAGGTATTTCACTCGCTCTATAGGGCTTCTGTGTAAGCACTACTTATTTGATCTTATTAGATCAAATATACCTATCCAATTTAGAGATATCGACCTATTTTGGTATATCAAAACGATTCTAGGCAGTCAATTGGTCCCAATCCTCCCCCCTAAGGATACTGCAGCCAAAATAGGACACAAATTGCCTATTTAGGTAGGAGGAGCGCCTAATTAAGAGGTAGAAGGCCCTAAGCAGGTACTCGGCCTATGGGGAGAGGAATCATACGTTGAAAAACTGCCTAATATAGATAAATTAAGGCTTTTGTATATAAATCTAATATATTACTATAGGAGATCTGATATATAAGGCTGCTAGTTATATGACTTTTATCCTATTTATTCCGATAGGGTGCGCCCTAGAATCATATAATAACTAATGGGGTGCAATTACTGATTTTTAGGGTATAGGGATTAACACCCCGTATTTAGTTAACGTATTTTATAAGTAAGTAGGCCATATAAGCGAGTGGGCCACCTAACCTAATATAGTAAATTCAAATATATAGATCTTAACCAAAACGCTATTAAATTAAATACACTAAAATCATCTATCTAGCTAGGCATCTATTAAATCTATACCCTATTTCTCCACACCCACTATACCTTAGTAGCGCCTGTGTATAGGGTTATAAAGCCGGCGAAGGGCCTCTCCGCTAAGGGGGGGTACTTCTATTACTAACACTAGCTTAGTAATTAATTAAGAAGCTTCTTAAACTAAGAGGCCTTCTTTAGTGGGTATCTACCTTTAGGATTAAGTACACTTTTACTTCTACTTCTTATTAGCGGCGCGTAATTCCTTATTTTCTTTAGTGAGTAAGATAGTACCTTATATTATAAGATAGAAGCCTTTTATAAGCTAGTTAAATACACAATCTAATAGACTTAAAGGGCTTCGAGATCTTATATAAAGTAAAGCTTTAATTAATAAAGCCTAATAATATAGATTTTTCTCTATAGCTAGTATTCTTAGTATAAAATTCCGGCTCGATTTACTCCCCTAGCTTAGAGGGGGGTAGGGGTTCGAAGCTAAATATTAAGCTTTAAAATCACTTAGTTAGGTATAAATAGTACTAAACTAGCTACTCTAAAGCTATTTGAAATAGTCTCTAATTTAAAGGCTTTAATTTATATAAGGGGGTATAATTTAAGGAAGTTAAGCTTATTGATATAGTTAAACCTAGTCTATATTTTTATTTTAACTATCTAACCATATAATTATTTTAATACTATAAAATAGCTAATATCTAAAGGTCATAAAAGATAAGATAAATATACTAGTATATAGATAGGTATTATCTATTTTACTATAAATCTTATTAAATTTAGGTATCAAATAACTTCTATAGCTATTAAGTATTAAAAGCTAATACCCCCCTCTATATATAAAGAAGTAGTAGGGATAAAGAGCTTCTCTAGCTAGTAAAGTCTAATTTTATTAGAGGTCTAGCTATTAGGACTAACTTCGAAACGCTAATTATTTAGAAGGCTATTAAACTAAGATTTAATAAAGACTTTACCTTTAAAAATCATATATAGGGGAGGGGCCTACCCTAAAGTATTTATATATTTAATAATAGTTACCTATTTACGATTTCTAGGTTATAAAAGTGATCACTAACTATATATTAGAGATCATATAACCTCTGGTTACTCCTAGTATATTATAGTCTTTATACGTAGATAGCTTTCTCCCTTCTCCACGTATTTTAATATAGTTTTCTAGAGTATATACTATTTCTTATAAAACCAGTATTCTTAGGTTATAAGCACCTTACTATTATAGGCCTATTAGGCACCCACTAGGCCAAACCGCCCCACTACACTAATAGGCCATCGAGAGCTAACCAAATAGTATTATATATAAAATACCCCGACGCGATAGTTAAACTAGGTCACTAGGTTATATAATTATATAAGTAGTAAAACGGTCGACTATAGATAGGTAGATCCCACTAAGATAATTCTACCAATCTACTATCTACTAAACTACTAGGGGAGATCGAAGGATATATAAGGATATATAAGTATAATAGTAAATTGTAAGATATATTTATATACTATGGTATATAAGGATAAGATATATATTTTACCGGTAGTATCTAAGAGAACCTTAGATATATTATTTACGGTAAACTATATTATAACTTATAATATATCGCCATAAATCTAGGATATCATAATGAAGTCATTATATTATTAATGACTTTCTATGATATTCTATACTGCTAGAGCTTGCCTATATAAGGAATGGAGGATTCCTAGCTAGAAAACAATCATGAATATAACTTTTCTCACCTCTTACCTATTATTATCTATTTAAGCTAAGTATAAACCTTTCTATATCTTATATAATATAATATTATATAAGATAAAGCTTACCTAATATACCTTCCCCTACAAAATATTATAACCTACTATTAGGCTATAATATTATTTCTACTAAAGTGCTCATAGTGACAATAGGTATATCGTTAATATTAGAAAACCTAAGGTATATTAAGGTAACTATACCCTAAACTATCTAATCTAACTATAACTAGTTAGCTAGTATATAATATATTAAAGACTATCCTAAACTTAGTCTTAAGTCTAACACTGACTTAGGTCCTAATATAGTAACTAAAGGAGGAGGAACTAGACTCTAAGGATAAAAGAGATAAGACTATTGTAAGATAAGAGAAGTAACTAGCCAACCTATAACGTAACCTAGAGAAGGTAATATAGGCTATTAATAATTAGAGTGTAAGTAACGTATTTCACAAGCGAGCTACGCACACAAGCGAGCTACGTACCTATATCTACCTATTAAATTTAACTATATTTATCTTAACCAAAACACTATTAAATTAATTTAACTAAATTGATTTATCTAGCTAAACACCTATTGATTTTATGCCCTATTTCTCCATAGCCACTACACTTTAGTAGGGCCTACGTACGTAGTTATAAACCTAGCGAAGGGCTTCTTTGTGGAGGGGAGGGGGGTACTTTATCTACTTCCACTAGCTTAGTAATTAACTAAGAAGCTTCTTAAACTAAGAGCCCTTACTTAGTGGGTATCTACTTCTAGGATCGAGTCCTTTTTTACTTTTACTTCTTATTTATAGTATATAGCTCGCTTACTTCTTTCTTAAGTAAAGTGTTAGACTATATCGTGATTTAATAGGCCTTTAAGACCTAATTAATCGCCTTATTTAGGGGACTTAGTGGGCTATATAAGTGTGTATAAAGTAAGGCTTTAATTAAGGTTACTTACTTTTATAATTATATATAATTTAGGGTATCCTTAGGTCCTAATCGCTCCCCCTACTAGAGGGGGGGTAGGGGTTTAAAGTCGAATATTAAGCTTCTTAATCACTTAATTAGATATAAAAGGTACTAAACCAGCTACTATAAAGCTATTTTTAATAGTCTCTAATTTAAAAGCCTTAATTCGAGCGGATAGATACGCTTTAAGGAAGTTAAGTTTATCGATATAATTTATCCTAACCTATATTTTCGATTTAACTAGCCGACTATATATATATTTTAGAACTGTAAAATAGCTAATATCGAGAGGCTATAAAAGGTAAGATAAATAAGGAGGTATATAGATTGGTATAACCTTATTTTACTTATAGATCTTATCGAATTTTAGGGTTAAATGGCTTCTATATCTATCGAGTATTAAAAGCTAATATCCCCCCTTTATACGTAAAGAAGTACTAGGAATAAAGAGCTTTTTAAGCTAGCGAAGTCTAATTTTATTAGAGGTCTAGCTATTAGGACTAACTTTAAATCGCTAATTATTTAGGCTATTGAACTATGATTTAATAAAGACTTTACCTTTAAAAATGATATATAGAGGGAGGGCCTAACCTAATATATTGATATATTTAATAGTAGTCACCTATTCACGATTTCTAGGTTATAAAAGTAAGCGCCGACCGTAGAATTCGCTCCTTATAATCACCTTTGCTATTATAGTTAAGCCTATAGTAAAACTAGTCTTATCGAAGTTATAAATATCGTTAGGGTCGATTCTAAACTAGAGGATTGTCTTTTAGATAAGATTAAACCACTCCTAGATAACCTTTAGGTCTTCGTATTTCGTACGTTCGTAATTATAGCGTCTCGAGAATTTAGAGGATAGAGAAGGGTATCTTTTCACAAAGTTTGTAACCTAGTTTTCACTAACCGAAACTACTAGGGTAGTTCCTCAATATTAAAGGAGAAGGTTCGCCATTTCTCGTACAGTAGAGGGATAGGGAGCTGATCCGCGAGATTCTATAGAGAGAATCTATTTTTCGAGAGATTCTTCTTCGATTTTTGTCAATTTATGGGAGTTTGCGTGAGTAGTCGCGCGTTGTTGGACCCTACGTAGGCGGGTCCGAAGTGTAGATTTAGGGATATTGTAGTAGCGCGCTATACCACGAATTGATGAGATTTCTTAATTCTTAAAAGCCTGGATGGCTAATAAGATCCTACCCTCTTGCTCTATTGAATTTCTAGAGCTTTAAGAGCGAATTGGTGGTATAGTGGGTGGTTAAATTAATTGATTGCTAATTTATGGACGCGTTTTGGGTAGGGTGCGTAGCTCGCTTGTGTGCGTAGCTCGCTTGTGAAATACGTTAACCTTAGTAAGTTTAGATAAGTCGATAACTTTCTTAACTAGCTTAAGTAGTAAGTAATCGCCTCTATACTAGCTAGCGATACTAATATACTATAACTTACTAAAGTAGAACATTTTAAAGGAACCTAATCTAAGCTTTAAGGATTCCTTACCTAGGTAGATATATACCTAGATATAAATTAAGATAAACTACTTAGTAAAGCTAGTAAAGTTATTTTTGTATCTACCTACCTATATAGGTAAGCCTAGAACTAGCTTAAACTATATATCTATAACTACTACGAAAAGATACTAGAAGATTAGTTAGTAACCACTATATCTATCTTTAAGAGCTATCTATACTAGCTTAAGATAATACCTAGAATAAATATTTAGAGATATTAATACCTAGAGAATAGATAAATAGAAGCTATAGAAAATTAGATAGTAAGGTAGTGTGTTAGTATATATACCTAAATTCTAGTAGATTGTCTTATACCTAGACTTACCTAATTAAGTGTATATTCCCTACTTTGAAGTAGGATTAAAGCTAGAAGTTAAAGACAAGTTAGATAAATTAATAGACCTAATACTTTAGATTAACTTATCGCTATTATAGTGAAGATCGATAACTATATTAATAAAAGATATTATAAGTAAAGAGAAATAGAGTAGTAGAAGAAGGGGAAATCCTATAGATTTAATCGATTCTAATGATATAGGCACTATAAAAAAAGCACTATATAATAGCGATCTATATAGCCTAAAGCTAATAGAATTAGATATTACTTAAGAAGAGTAAAAGGAGTATCGATAAAAGAACCTTTATTTTATATATAGAAAACTAGGACACTATATTAAGGAATATAAGAATAAAAGGCCTAATAGACTAAGGCCTAGATATATAATACTATATAAAGAACTATATATAATACCTAAAAGTAAATACCTAATTAGTGAGTTATTAGAAGATTTCTTAGTAAGATAGAATAACCTAAGCCTAGAAGAGATATTAGCTAGTAATCTATATATTGAAGGGTTAACTAAAGGGCTATATATAGAATTCCCTAAGATAGAATAGGATATAGTAGAGAGTTAAGGATAGACCTAGTATATATACCTAGGAGATAGTGACTCCTAGGGACTAGTTAATAACTCTTAGGAGTAAGAAGTAGGTTACCTAGGGACACTAATTATATTCCTAGGAAACTAGGAGAACCTAGGAAACCTCTATTGGGTTAATTATAATAAAGAACCTAATATACTATAATATATAAACTAAGCGATCCTAATTAAGGGACTTAAAGACTTAGAGGTAGAAGTACCTAAGTATTACTATAGACTAAACTATAAGGAAGCTAATATAGAGCTTTAGGGCTACCTCTAAGGCGCTTATAACCTGATAACAGAGAAGATAATAATATCCTCTATCTAGAAGGAGCTAGGTTAATATATTAGAAAGAAGAATACTTAATATTATACTATAGAAAGGAGTAATCTAATAGGATACCCTTATAATCATTCTACTTACATATAAAGGATATATATAATACCTAGATTATAGTAAAATAGCTAGTGTAATATACTATAATAAACTATATATAATTTATAGATCTAGTAAGTTAGATCTAGGCATTAAACTAAGGCTACTAGTATAGATAAAGAAACTATACTAGCGAAAAGAATACTAAGGAATTTAGTGTAATAGGTAATAATTATATAATTATTAGAACTAGCTAACTAAATACCTTACTATAACGATATTAGGAACTTATATTAAACTCTATATAGAGCTACCTACTAGAAGAGCATAGATACTTATTAATTTAGGGGCTATAAATAATTTTATAAGCCTAATATTCTATAAAGAATAAGGAATTTAAACTATAATATTACCTTATACTATCCTAGTTAGCGGACTAGATAGAGAAGTACTCTTAGGAGGAGTAACTAAAGAAACTATAACACTATATAAATATTAATAACTACCTAGAGTATATTAATAACTACCTAGAGTATATTAAGTTTAATATTCTAGTAATTAGGAACTACAATATCGTTCTTAGAATCCTATAGCTAAGAAGGTATAACCCTAATATCGACTAGTAATAAGAAATAATTAAATTTAACTAATATAAGTGTATTAAGTAGGGACCCTATAATCGCTTATAACTTAGGAAGCGACCTATAGTGAAGTAGGAGGAAACCCTAAGTGTAACTAAATAAGCACTAGATATATCTAACTAAGAGTTAACGGAATATATACTAGTTAAGAGTGAGAAGCTATATAAAACTAATGGTGACCTATAAATTCTAGAGGAGTATAAGGATTACTAAGATATATTTACTCTATTAGAGAAGGGAGGACTACTAAAGTATAGACTATTTAACTATAAGATTAATAATATAGAAGGCTCTAAACTAACTTCTAAACCTATCTATTAACTATTATAAAAAGAATCTAATAAACTTAAGGAATATATCGATAATACCCTAAAGAAAGGTTATATCTAAGCCTTAAAATCACTAGCTAGATACCTAATCATTTTTATACCTAAAAAGGATAGATACTTACGACTTTATATAGACTATCGATATCTAAATTCGATCACTATCAAAGATCGCCACCTATTACCACTTATTTATAAAATATAGGGATTAAGCTAGGATATAAATAGAAGATAGTATTCAGAACTAAGTTCGGACACTATAAGTACTAAGTGATACCTTTTAGCCTTACTAACGCACTAGTAACATTCTAGTGGTTTATCTTTAGAGTACTTGAAGAAAACTTAGATATCTTTATTATCGCCTACTTAAATAATATTTTAGTATTCTTAAAAACGCGAGAAGAATATATCTAGTATAATTAACTAGTGCTATAGAAGCTAAGGGAAGTAGAGGAAACCCTTAAACTTAAGATTTATAAATTCTATATATAGGAGATAATATTCCTTAGATACTATATTAGTCCTAATAGACTTAGGGTAGAAGAAGATAAAATTAAAAGTATTATAGAGTAGCTAATACTAAAGAGTGTTAAGGAAGTATAATAATTCCTAGGACTAGCTAACTACTATCGAAAGATTATCGATAGATACGCTAAAATAGTAATAGGGCTATACTAACTAACTAACTAAGAAGGACTAACCCTTCTTATAGGATAAATAAGTAGAACGATTATTTAATAGGCTTAAGAAGTTATTCGCCTAAGGTACTATTATAGCTACTTTCGATTATAATTAACAAATTATTCTAGAAATAGATATATTAGACTATACCCTAGGAGTAAGACTTATATAACTAGGAATAGATAGGAAATACTAACTAGTAGTGTTCTAGTCTAGGAAGATAATCCCTATAGAACTTACCTATAATATATATAATAAGGAACTCTTAGCTATAGTGTTAGTATTCTAAGTCTAGAGAGTATATCTAGAAGGAGCTAAATATATAGTAGTGGTTAAATTAGACTATAAAAATCTTATATTCTTTACTACTATAAAAGTATTTATAAATAGGTAAGTATAATAGGCTAAAACCCTAGTATAGTATAATTTTAGAATTAAATATTACAAGGGATCTTGGTGGCCTTCGGCCACCAGATAGTCCTTGTGGAGCGAAGTGATAAGGTTTTTACCTAGTTAGGTACTGGTTTTTTTTATATAATCACTATCGTATTGAGATTCAGACGGTTTATATCATATGATAAATAATTTCAATTGCTAGGCTTAGTGTATATCTACTACCGGTAGAATTATTCTGCCATTTCTCAGCGATCACATTTTCGCCGCATTAGAACTCTATGGATTTGGACCTTATATAGGAGTAAGGTCACGTGACGTATACCCGAGCCCTTATGGTATAGGTTGCTTCGCTTCGCTCCGCAATAAAGAAATAGAGAATAGCTAAGTAGATATACTTAGTAGATAACTAGATTATAAATTAGGAACTAGAGTAGTAGAACTAACTATCCTAGAAATAAAATTTAGATAGGATAATCTTATATAACCACTAAATACTCGCTACTATAAGGGATCTTAGTGGCCTTCGGCCACCAGATAGTCCTTGTGGAGCGAAGTGATAAGGCTTTTACCTAGTTAGGTACTAGTTTTTTTTATATAATCACTATTGTGTGATAACTAAATAATTTTAATTACTGGGCTTAGTGTATATCTACTACCGGTAGAATTATTCTACTATTTCTTAGCGATGATATTTTCGCTATATTAGAACTCTATGGATTTGGACCTTATATAGGAGTAAGGTCACGTGACGTATACCTAAGCCCTTATGATATAGGTTGCTTCGCTTCGCTGCGTAATAATAGAGCTATAGAATAATAAACTAATCTAGAAAATTAAAGTAGAAGCGGAAAAAGACTAAATTTAGGAATTAGCTAGAAATAAAGGCCACCTTATTAGGAACTAGGAAGGAATTATCCTAATATATAGATAATAAGGAAAGAAGTAATCTAGAAACACTATAATAGCCCTATATATAGATATATAGAGGTAGAACAAACTATTAAATATATCTTATAAAACTATTATTTTCTAAATAAATATCAAAAAGTTAGATTCTATATTAAGAACTATAATATATACTAAAGAAATAAACCTATATAATATATACCTTATAGAGAAATATAACTATCTAAGACTCCTATAGAACTATAGGAATAGATTATAATAGACTTGATTATAAAGCTACTAATATCTAATAGATATAATATAATTATAGTTATAGTTAATAGGCTAATGAAGTATACCTATATAATCCTAACTATAGAAACTATTACTACTAACTAG